CACGATGCTTAATGCTGACTACTGTTGGAGATGGCTGGAATAAAGTTAGGGGCAGCTAAACCAAAACGTGGCGTCAGTCCTTGAAGTCCCTAACTAAAGAATAAAAATAGTTGGATTTAAAACCTTATCGACTGATAATATCGAAATAAACTTCGAGTATCACATAAACAAAGCGATCGTTTACTAAAGTGATGGTAATACTGCCAACTTCGTAGAATTATACTTGGTTATGTGAAACAAAACCATGAAACTAGTAGTGAGCTCACATAAAAGCAAGGATTTTGTGACAGGTATAAAAAAACACGAAAAACTATCAGTACGATTAGCCGAAAGTAGAAATAAAACAAGTTAACCGGCGACTGTATATATAACCTAGTTATATATATTAAAACTATGATACCCTATTGTAGACGCATGTAAAACTTACAATTTATTAAAAGGGAAGCCTATATGACGATTTATTAATACTTTTGTATCTACACAAAAGACCAAAGCTGTTCGGCTACTTTATCTGCGAAGGATTGTCCGCATTGGGTGGACTGATGAGACTCCCATGATAGATTAAGGTGTCGATGTTTTCAACTGCTCCATTCCCTATCATTAATTCAGGTAGATACAGCATGATGAGTACGTGAACCATGATATACCCAAAATTAATAATTTTGATGATTTACTAAGGAAACGGGGGCACTAAATATACATTGGAAACAGCTATGAAATAACTTGAAGGTTGTCACGAAAGTTAGCGATTTGAAATTACACAAAATGGTTATTAGCGTATTAAGGGTAAAATCCTTTCTTTACAATGATGGAAAACTTGTCAATACAATTTTCGAGTAAGTGCGCTGTAACTGACTGTACCAAACAATTATAATTTCGAGAATAAGATGGCTGTTAAACCGAAAATGACCATGCTGAATGACTGGCTAGCATAGAGATTGTTGCATGAGAATTCAAACATACTAGCTGCCTCAGACTCGGTCAAAGTTGAAAGTTTAACAGAATAGTCAATGGACATTACCGTTAACATGTTATATACATCATATAGTTCAAGTTGCCACACCTCATTAGCACAACAAGATGAACATCAAATTTATAGTAGTTAATTCAATGGTGGTAATATATAAAAGAAAGACTGTGTATAAGGATATAGTACAGGAATAAATAATTAGTTGGTAGAAAGAAAAATACAAAGCAATTTTAATCTCATAGTTTGAGAGAAGAATAAGAGTGTATACACCTACGCCATTGTGATCGATTCTGAGCCATGTCACTCAGTCTCCAACCATTGGTTACGATAGTCACGCGGACACCAACCAAGTAGTATGCATCTAACAACATGGTTAAGACAAGAAGTATTACACATGCCCAATCACCGTCTACCACGACGCGCAGTGCTGACTAGGGTTGGAAACAGATGGAAGGTTAGGGACGGCCGAACCAAAACGTGACATCAGTCCACAAAGTCGCTAACTTCTGGTCTGAGTCATGTTGCTGGATGCAGACTACTCGGTTGGGGTCCGCGCGACTAACGTAACTAGTGGTTGAATAATCTGGGTGATATGGTTCAGAATCGATCACATTGGCGTAGGTGTATACACTCTTTGTCTTTCCTTAAACCGTGGGATTAAAATTTTCTTATAACTTATTTTCCACGAAATAATTTCTTCTCTGTATTATATCCATAAATGCGATCTTTGTTTTAATACATTACTACAATTGAAGTAACTGCTTCTATGAATTGCTGTTCATCTTGTTGAGCTAATGAGGTATGGCAACTTGGACCGACGCATATATATGCCTGGTTTTACGTTGTAGCTGACTAACTGGCTGTTAACCAGAAAAAATCATTTAAACATCGTCCAGGAAGTTGAGGGGTTTTCATTCAGAAGAAATATGATGCTTTGTCTCGTACAACTTTCTTAAAAAGTATCCGAGGAATCGACTCTCCTAAACTCGCCCATATTCGTAAGGAATATAGTGATTTTCAGCACGAGTTAAATTTGACAACCCTGAGATTAACTCCTCCTGAAGCTCATCCAGGGTAACTGCCGGCTCTAAGCCAGGGGAAAGGAGGAGCGTTGGGTGTTGAGTGAACAACTTCACTAAAAAGACTATAAAAAGAAAAACAATTTAAACTGCAAAATATGCCCTCATGGTAAAAGTTGATGTTCTTTGAAAGACGGAAGGACGACGCCCCTTCTGACAACCAGAACAACAATGAATATAAGCACATGGAATGTCCCCACAATATGAGAGACCGGGAAAACCATTCAAGCAGAATCATGAATGAAAAGATACAACGTAGAAGTGCTTGGAATAAGTGAAACCCATCTGACCCAAGTTGGACAGGAAAGATTAGCTTCGGAAGAAATGCCGCTGTACTCTGATCACGAAGAAAATGCTCTACACACATAGGGAGTTGACCTGATGCTATCCAAAGAAGCATGAAAAGCACTTATAGGATGGGAATCTTATGAACCCAGGATCATCAAAGCATGGATAGGGAGAAAGGAACCAGATTCACAAATATACGTGCATTCAACAAAACAGTTATAGGCCGCACAATATTCCCCCACAAACACATGCACAAAGCTACATAGGACTCACTGGATCATACTACAGAGAATCAGATCGATCATATTTGCATCACTGAAAAATTCAGAAGGTTCACGGAAGACGTGAGGACAAGGAGAAGGGCTGAAATGGCTTCAGATCATCATCTGGTAGTTGTCAAGATGAAACTGAAGCTTAAGAAGCATTGGAAAACTAGGAAAACAGCATTATAAAGGCTCAAAAACAGCCTGCCTTCAAGATACTGGTAAACTCAGCAAATTCAAGATAGCTCTCAACAACAGGTTCCAAGCCTTACAAGATTTACTCAAAGAGGAAGAAACTACTATGGGGGACAACTGGAAAGGGATCAAAGAAGTACTAACTTCCACGTGTCAGGAAGTTCTGGGTCGCAAGAAACATCATCATATGGAATGGATCTCTGTCGAAACCCAAGGCAGAATTCAAGAAAGGGAGAACAAGAGGATAGCAATTAACAACAGCCGAATGAGAACACAGAAAGTCATGGCACAAGCTGAATACACAGAAGCAAACAAGAGAATGAAGAGAAGCATTAGAACCGGCAAGCAGAAATATGTGGAACACTTAGAAACGACAGAGGAGAAATCTACGACAGAAGGAAATATGAAACAGCTATGTGACACAACGAAGAAACTGTCAGGGAACTATAGTAAACCACAGAGACCAAGCAGGAACAAAAAAAGCAAGAGAATCACTGAGATTCGAGAACAGATGGGTAGAATACTTCGAGGGACCCTTGAATAGGCCAGCCACACTGAACGCACCGGACATCGAAGCAGCACACACGGATCTCCCTAGAGATGTCATCCCAACAACGATCGAAGAAATGAGGATGACCAGACAAATCAAGAGTAGGGAAGCAGCAGAACTCGACAACATAACAGCTGAAGTACTGAAGTCAGACGTAGAAGCAACTGTAAAGATGCTCCACGTTTTAATCAGAAACATTTGGGATTAAGAGCAAGTGTCGACAGACCGGAAAGAAGGATACCGCATCACACAGTCCAAATTGTGACACTACGGATCATTTTTGACCATCAATTGGATGGAAATCATCACTATACACCAACTTCCCTGACTATGAGGCAGTGGTTGAAGCGCCGATAGGGGGACGTTATACAACCCTCTTCGACACTGTGGTGTACTTGACAAGATCTTCACCACCATATGGAATTCTTACGACGGCTACACTACAAAGTGGTGCATGAAGGACAACTCACAGATTCATTGTAAGTGAAGATCGGTATTAGACAAGGCTGCTTGCTTGCTCTCGCCTTTTCCATTTCATCTGGTGGTTGACTGGATTAAGAAGACTTCCACATCTGAGAGAAAGCATAGAAACCTCGGACGCAACTAAACAATCTAGACTTTGTGGATCACTTAAATCTTCTATCCCGTATACAGAAACGAATGCAGGTGAAGGCAAACAGTGTAGTAGCAGCCTCTGGAGCAATAGGCCTCAACATTCACAAGGCAAGAAGATCCTGAAATATAACACAACGAGCACCAGCCAAACTACAATTGATGGAGATGCTCTGGAAGATATGGAAACTTTTAACATACCTGGGAGCGTTATTGATAAACAAGGGGGATCTGATGCAGATATGAAAGCATGGATTGGTAAAGCAAGCGGAGCATTCGTACGACTGAAGAACACATGGAACTCGAAACAACTGGCAACCAATATCAAACTCAGAATCTTCAGTACGAACGTCAAAACAGTTAGTTATATTGTACGGAGCTGAAACTCAGAGAACTACCACAACCATCATCAAAATGGTACAATTATTTATAAACAATTGTCTACGTAAGATGCTCAATGTCTGTTGGCCGAATACCATCAGCAACAACCTACTGTGACAGAGGACAAACCAGCTTCCAACTGATGAGGAAATTAGGAAAAGACGTTGGGGGTGGGTAGGACATTGGAGAATACTGGTTGGAGGCTTATGCTCTACAAGTTGTAACAGGTGTAAATAAGTAACGGGTCACTTTGCCTACTATAGCTTTGTCAGCTCCAAGTGTTACGAAGTTTTTGAATTCAGTCATTCAGTTATAATCAGCATACCTCTAGCAGAAATCTGTTTGTGATATCAAATTTAACCGAAGTTCATGGTCAAAAATATAACATGATATTTCAGTTTCTTTTATGAGAATGCTAGCAACTAAAATGATATTAATACTCGTCGAATTGTTGCAAACACACTTTGGAAGGTGAAAATCTCTCAGATTTCAGAGCATTACAAAAAGTATGAAACTGACTAGAAAGTGATGTGTGAAGTATTACCATACTATACTACTTATCATTATTTATACTCAAAATTATTATTATTAACACACAAAGTCCATATGAAAATTCCATGAAATAATTTGAATGAATTATTTAGCGAAGGATAGGAAATTACTTACGTATCCGAGGTATTCTTTAGTTCACAAGATACATCACTAGTTGTGTTCTTCTGAACATTAGAATAGTGAACGTTGCCATAAGTCGTTCTACAGGCTGGTATTAGTGCTTGTTTGCGACGTGTGCGACTGGTTGTTGTGATCAAGTTTTCTGAGGGTCCAATAAAATTGAAGGTCTTTGAACTAATCCTTGGAGAAGGTTGATTATCACCATTCACAGGTGAACAACTATTTCCAGACCCGTATGAATCCAGTTTAAGGGAAGACACGTAGTTTGCATAACTATTACTCTTTTCATAAGACATGAAACACTGTTCTATTTGGACGCAAATAGATGTGCTTGGAAATCGAAGAACGCACCTTTCAAGAAAATAACGAAATATATGAATATATATAAGGTTAGAGTTAGTGCACACCCCAGTTTATAGGTAATATAAACTCACATTTTTGTTGAGGATGCCGATAACTTTGGCCTCATCTAATAAAACTACTACGCTAGGTGGATTATCATTTAAGAGAAATAAGGGAAGAAAATTTGCTACCTGAAGAGGAAATCAACGAGAGTTAAAAAGAGAATTGAGAATGATGAAAATTTTCAGTCTTGTTATTTGAAACTACCCCTCGTATACACATTTATACAACTAGGGGAGTTAGCTTCAAATAACCGCCGAGTACCCTGGTACGACCAAGGGTGGAGAGTCACCTCTCTCCCTTGAGATGGGGAACATGAGGTCGATGATCATAAGAAAACGGATGGGGTTCACATCTATTTTGGTTACAAGTTACCATTCGACTGGATCTTCTGGCATTACTTCACTCTCTTGTACATTAGAACCTTATACAGAATACATTTACTTTATTACACATTAACTTTCTACCTTATTTAAACTTATTGTTGCTTATACATTTATTTTTTGGCTAGAACCCATTTAGCGGCTTGTCAGTATTGAAAGCTCTGGGCTGCCTATAGGGTATCAAATATGTCCCTGGATGGTTTTCAACGTTTTCACTTTGATCCAGATAGGACGACAGATGATTTTGTCTAACCTACTGGAAGGCAAAGGTATAGGTGTATACTTTATATCTGATACCTGTATTCAAGATCCTAGTGAAGTACTACAAAAATGATGATCGGAGAGTGCTAACGTGTCGGAAGATGTGTCTGAATATTGTAACTCCCGGAAACCGTTTTAACTTATTCGAGCTACTAGTGGTAAGAGTAGTGTCAGTGAAACCATTCATAAAGCTGATGGCATGTTAATTAATAACTTCCAAAGTCAACTCGAATGCCAGGCAGAGCACGTTGAGTGACAGTTAGTTTGGCCTCTTTTGTCAGTGAGGCCTATTAGACTATCCTGGGCTCCGTGACCTGTGACTACTGATTCATCCGATGAAGCAGGTTTCATAAGGAACTTGAACTTTTGAATCATCGAAAGTAACTAGACCGAGACGAACTTCGCACGACCCTTTATAAGAATGATTTCGTAGTTACGGCCAGAAAACTGAATAGGGTACTTTGAAGGATATACTTAATAGTATGTTTTACAGTACTAGAATAAAGCGATTGTTTCCATTTCTCAAAATGGCCCACGTAATTTATGTAACAATTATTGAGTTGCAAGTTTGCTCCTAACTGCTCCTATACTATTGGCTCGTGAAGAGCAGTCCAGGTTTTGCTTAGATCCTTTTATTTATTTATGTAAACATATCAACACCAAATACATATGCGCCACACTTCATCAATCGATTTATGTGAGGGCTGGGATACTGTACGGGTGCCCAAACCGAAACAGCTGATTTTCTTAGGAGGCCACTCCCCAAGCCTATGACGTACAGGTCTAATCCATAAGACAGTGGAGCAACGTTAAGAGATACAGTCCCATGGTAACCGGTGACCGACAATAGGTTAGTACACCCACTCATTGCAGGCCAATAATTAGTGTGTTTCTATGTATTAGGCCAAGACTGTACCCGGAGATTGTTTATTGAGAAAAGATTAGAAAATTACATTGACATTTTGAGGGCTCTGTACATAAACACTTTAGGGAGAGTGGGGACATAAGGTTAGTGTTCTAAAACAACCCCGAGTTAACTAGGGTCGATCAATCTCTTCACACCCTTTCAATTTCAATTTGGAGGAAGGAAGGATGACACAGAGGCTATCTGAATTGCATTCAATCAGTTTGAAATTAGTGTCCGTAGGTATGGGGATTTTGAAATCTAAAGCACTATCGTAAGATTAGCATGAGTCTGTAACTTTACTTGTTCTTTGTGAACTATTGGAAACAATTGAGGAGTTTGTGCATCAGAGTAGTAAGTGATGGTACTGGTTTGGTAGATGAGGTTAATCTATATATACTGAGAGTTAGAGCGGTTGATCTCAAACTGAGTCATTTTTATCGTCCTTCTGACGTTAATGCGGCTGTAAAATAGCAGGTTTACAATGTATCAGAGAGAGATGTTTCACTTTATACTTTGAAGCCTGGACACTCCCAGCGGAGGATATTTGAACACACTGTGTTCGGTTATTGCTGGCTCCGAAAGACTGCATACATTTTGCTGGCAACAATATATTAGTATTGCCGAGGTTAGGGAACGTATGTTCAGTTGTAGTAATGATAGTTCGATCAGTGTTACCATCAAGAAAAAACGACTTCGTAGACACATATCTCCATAGTTTTACATCCATCAGCTACAAAGAAATTTGGTCAGATGCCTTATGAGCGGAGCAAAACAGACGTCCTCAGAGGATACCACCACGGAGTCGAGGCTTAATAAAATACTGACAGAAATAGGCTGTTTTTTTAATTACATGTATGCAGAGATACATAAGTTGAACCGCTCGTAAGAAACTTTTGTTCTTAAGACTACAATTTAACAGGGATGTGTCTAGAGATGTCCTGCATGATAGATTTGCGAGGGCAGTTAATAGAACATTTTATGCAGCTAGTCTTACTTTGAACAGTAATGTCTACTCAAACGAAAGATGGGCTACCTGAGTTTACCTTATCGATATGGATCTACAAATTTAGCTGATTCATTGCAAATACCTAATATTGGGTACACTACTAGCTCGGTTTGAAAAAAGGCATACGAACACGACAAGTAGCTGCATTTTAACATATTTGGTTGACAGTGGTCATATGATAGAGTAAACTAAATCATTTTGAGTGACTTATCGTACACTTTGTCGTTTTGCTATAACTTTTGACCGCCGATTAGAGGGCAGTGACTTATCGATCGGATCAATGACGTGTAAACCCGTATGAGCAGCCTAGAGTCCTAATTGGTCCTGCTTCCTGCCTAGCCCAGCCAGTTAAGTCCAGGACACCAACCCGAGCCTCTGCGATATGAATCGTTCTATTTCAAATATACTGAGTTTATATACCAATCAAACAGACCACACCGTACCAATAAAATATGAGACAACATTTGTACAAGAATTAGCCAGATGTAGCTGTGAATGAGGGAGGTAGTAATTGATATACTGGGTATAAATCAAGAATGGTAAAACGTGTAATAATAGTTTATGGGTCAAAATAAAGCTTATAATAAGAGGAATATGAATGTGCATAGTTTAGTTACTCAATAATTATACAATGGAAATATACGTTTAGTATTGGCCTATCAATAGATCCTAAAAGTTACCATTCATTATTCTTGTAGGGACATAACACGTTTACTAATGAGGTTCCACCCCGTGTCCTAAATACAACAGAAACTATAGGCATTCGAACTCATAATTTTTATTTATGTCAAGAAACTGGTGAAACTTCTGTCCTTTCCTTGACCTGACATAACTTAAACAATTTTACGGATTTTTCCACATTCCGTATTAGTTTGTCGTTCTTCACTACCTGATTATCTACACAAGTTTTTCACGTCATTCTGATACTTTTGTGATTATTATTTTAGTCCATTTATCCATAAGTTTGATCTAATACCTATGTTGCCTTGATTAGTTTAATATTTTCATAAATAAATATTCATGCATATTAGAGTAAAGCCTGGTGACGATCTAAATCAAAACAATGTTGTTCGCTTGTGTTGTTCTAATTTATCAATCCATCACAACTAAACTGGAAATCTTTATCACATATAGATTAGAACAAGGCTATGAATTCTTCACATAGGTGAGTATTCATTTAAAGAAATCTTTCTTGGTTATATTTTTTATTTACGAATTGCCATATTTTGGTATCTCTCTATACCCGAAATATCACATATTATCAATGAATAGAGTTAGATGAGCTTAAGATGGGAACCATGAACGTGAAGAAACTGTTTATTGCCAACACAAGATATGATTGGAAGACATTTAAGTGGCTGCCAGTTTGAATAAAAATCAAAACAATGAAAACCCAATAGTCTATTTGCAAACACTTACCTTGGTGGGATGGATAGAAACTGGGAACTGTACGGTCGAAAATTTTGGTCAATAAAAATTCCATTCTTGCCTTTGCACTTAAGTTTCAAGCAGTCAGTTTTCCAGATAATTTCTAAATGTTGCCGAGAAACATAAGAAGAACAGCCTATATCAATGTCAACGGGGTACACGGCTGAACCCCGACCTATTGTAATTTGATGTTTTACCATTTCATATGTGGTTTTTCCCGTTGTTAGACGCGCATAAACTGTCGGCATTTTGCGATCCATGTGATGCTAGAGAACGCTTAAAATTACACCACACGACCAAATAACATATCCATTACACCAGTAGCAACACTAAATTCCAACGACAAGTATTAAAAGTGAAGAAACTAAGGTAAAGATTATTATACTCAAGCATGAACACCAAATTAATACTAAAGACAAAAAGCACTTCAATTAGTAAAATTCTCGAAGTTTTCTACGACTCAGAAAGTAGGTAAACGTTCATCTATCCGTTTTGTGTGAGGGCTAGCAACACTAATCGACTGAGAAAAATAAGGTAGAGAGGAGTTCGAATCTAAGTTTCAACAGTTGAAAACTAAGTTCTATCCGTTAACCGGTTGTTATTTTTAGCAGTTAGTTGAGGAGAATGTAGTACCAGACACAAATGTTATACTGCCCAAGTTGTAAAACTTTATATAAAGACAGTGATGGGAAGCCAATGGGGAAACCAAATGATTTGATATATTGGTGACTGAGGAAAACAAAAAATAGATATGTCGGGTTAGATCATACTACACTATGTTAACAGACTAATTAGGTTTCAGGGAAGTAACTGAACGTGTCAACTACTGTAATCATCTGGGAGGTCTACTCAGTCCTGGTGAGTGTCTGGCAACATATGGGCAAGTATTCAGGAGGCCCGCTTGATTTTTACTAACGTGTGTTATGTGGCATTCGTTCCCTAATGAAGACACCAGAATACTGTGTAGCAGGTTTCTCTGTTCTTCTGTACGGTTGCGGAATGGGGCCTTTCAAAATAGAGTATATCTGTAGCTTATAAGTAAATGAATATATATGCCTTTAGAGCACTGCTCGTGTATGCTTGGACCACCGAATGAGCAGTGTTGAGGTTAGATGCAGGGTCTAGATAAGGATGGTGAATCGACTTATGAGGTGGTAAGTCCTCATCGACTGAGGTGATTGTGATGTGTTATAAAAGCCCAGCCACCGCCTACCTTGACATGAGATTCTTGCTGATTTGGGGGGGGGGGTAGGTCGGGAGAAAGTTAAGGGTAGCCAAACCAAAATGTGATACCGATTCACTGATCATTGACTTGAGCTGTGTTGGTAGGTTCGGACTGTCTGGTTGAGATCAAAAAGATTTTCATAATCAGTGAGACTTTGAGTGACAGCTCAGAATTGTCGGTAATAGTGCAAGTGCATTCAATTCATATCATCTTGAGCTTTGAAACCATATTACACCTTTTAATCCCACGAGTTTATATCTTCTTATAGTATACAACCTCACTACCGTCAATGTTTCAACTGATCCAGGAATAATCTCGGTAATTACCCCTTGAGTTGTTGATATGTGGCAACTTAAACAGACGCAAGTATGTCCCAGGTACTGAGTTGCGTATCAATTGTTGAACGATTTTGAAATAGCGACTTCATGGTCATAGTACATTAGTAAAGATATGCTGCTGACTATTTGTCACGTTTACACAGCTCTTCTTATACCACTCATAGACAGTAGTTTTCGAGCATTGACTATGGTACACCAGTTATGTCAGTAACGTTTGTTAGCATTCTTGGGTTAGTTACAGCTAGAGGTTCTTTGTGTGATAGTTATCTCGGAGCAGGTCAATAGTCTCTCGTCAACTTTCTGAGTTAATATAAACTCTGACAAAATGCATGTTCACTACGCGTACCTTCACACACTGAAAACGTGATTTCTATACTAAATTTACACATCGTGTTTCGGACTAGTATAAAGACCAGCACGCAATTCACAGTTTTCGTCAAAACTGCTGAATATGATATCAATGATAAGGAGCATCTCTTTATTAATCATTAATTTTTACCTGATTAGTCCGTATATGAAGCATAATCTAATCTCCCTACATAATACATTACAACAGTAAGTATGAGATATTTCACTACGTGAGACTGCTAGCGCTGATGTATACAAGTTTCAGATACAACAGACAGGAGCATAAAGTATATGGTGGAGTTTCCATTAAATTGATTTCTGAAGGATAAATACTTATGTACTCAACAGTATACCGCAGTGACTATAATCCGAAATAATTAATGGAGTGACAAAAAGAAATTTTGAGTAACTAAATGCAGACGTTCCATGACATAGTAAGCTTTAAACATTTTAGCTACATACATTTAAGTAAACTGAGGCAAACGACCTCCAATGCTACAAATCTGATCCGCGCGCTCTAAAACTAATAACCTTGTAGAGGTTCACATATAGCTAGAAGGTACTTGGTGTGCTCAGGAGGCATTCAGAGTAAAGTGAGAGGGGCCTGTAGAAAGAAAAGAAAAATGAAAAGTGGGACAACAATCCAGCAAGCTAACGCAGTGTACTTACATTTAATAGCGAAAGCAAGAGGCAACAGTTAGAAATAACGTAACCTTGAGTTAACACAAATAGTTCAAATGGTTGTGGACTGAATAGAAGAAGCTTTCGCTTAACGGACTTCCGTGTCAAGTAGCAGTGGATCACCAGTACCTCCAAGCAGGAAACTAGGTATATATTAGATGCGAAACTGAAGCAGATAGTACAGTCTGCCACAACCTGCGGGATAAAATGATCGAACTCAGTGATGGTATATTATATACTGTCATGTAAACATAGTGTTAAACAGTACATTGTTCGTTCGTTCAGCAGTAAGATGGTAGATCCAGACTTGCGTAGTAAGGAAAGAAAGCCTACGGACTGTGTTATTCCTTTTCTAGTGTGTGTCTAGTCTTCTCTTAAATGATGCGATTGAACGTGCAGATATCACTGCTTCGGGTAACAGGTTTCAAGAATTGATGACTCGGTGTGAAAATCTGCACGCCACGGGTGTTTTGTTCGTTCTTGGCTTTTCTGCACTCCCACTGTGTCCTTTAAGATGTCCCGATCTAGTAGGAAGAAAATGAGAAGATATATATTTTGCCCAAAATTATTTCTTAGTACATTATGTATCAAAAACAGATCACCTCTTAATCTGCGATAGGATAGGGTAAATAGTTCTGATGATGTCACAGGTATTCAGTGTTTGGCAACGCTTCTACCAGTAACACCTTCTAATATATTTCGTTCCCGCCCAGAGAAATCAAAAGACAGAGTCGAGGAGATCGGAAGAGTATATTTGGCGATGACCAATATATCGGAATTCTCTGATCTAATCTGGCTAGCGATTGCGGTTGATGTTGAGCACGGCGTTACCACACGTGATCTGGTGCGGATGCTTGACCGAGCGCCTTCAGCTAGATGAGTCCACTAAAACATATGGTCAGCATCCAATGTCGAAAACTTACGGAGCTATTTATTTTGAGGATTTATTTACCGCTACAGGTCACTCCCCCCCCCTAGTGGGGCAGTGACGACCCTAAGACATGGCCAGCCAGAAGTTTAAACCCAACGAGTTTGTCGTTGGTAAACACTCTTCTGATAGCTTACTAAGTGTAGCAGCGTCTGGTCGTCTTTCCTTACTATATGGGACCGAGATACAACATAGTAAAAAAAGAAAGAGTTACAACGAAAATTTCGACTCCTTGTAAACTGCATCGTTTTTTTCTAGTCGTCCTGGAAAAGAAAAAAGAAAGTGTAAGTGCATGTCGAAATACACTCGTATGTGCGTAAAAACACAATGTCGGCGAAAAAATGGAAAATATACTCAAGCACACGTAATAGTGTTAAAAAATGTTTTTTATGTTTTGTTTTTTTAAAAAATAAAGATATAAATATATAGGCATAATAAAATTGTCTTTTTTTAAAAAAAGTTATATATCGTTAAAAAGAAAGATCGAGATAATATAAAATGTCGAGTAGTGCCTTACGTGCAGTAGTCGTTTAAATGTTCTGGAAATCTTACTCTTCTTCCAGAACGCGTCGTTTTACGTTTATTTTCAGATACATTCGGAGTATCATCGCTAGTGTTAGTTGTCGGTTGAGGAACTATGAGTGTAGGAGTCGCGTTGTGCGATTGTACCGAAGGAAAGTCGACGTGAATGGGATTTCCTTCTAAATACGCTGCTTTTAAGCGATCGATGCTGATGCTATCGTTTGTTCCGTTCTTATCGACTATATAGTACTTAGATTCACGTTGAAGAACTTTGAAGGGTCCTTCGTATGCTGATTCGAATGGTCGTCGATGCGAGTCTCGACGATCGAAAACGTGTGTACTATATCGTAAGTCAGGTTGAACGAAAACATCAGTTCATTGAGGTCGAGTGGAAGCAGGTTTAACTGAACGCATTGCGTTTGTAAGCCTGTTCGTGTAGGAGGTTAGATCCATGTTCATTGAAGAGGACGAAGGATCCACGAATTCTCCTGGAAGTCGAAGTGTTGTTCCATAAACGAGTTGAGCCGCAGTGTATCCAATGTCAGCTTTCACTGCATTGCGGATACCTAGTAAGACAAGTGGAAGAGCGTCGGTCCACTGTGAAACGTTTGCAGCAGATAGTGAAGCTTTTAGTTGTCGGTGAAAACGTTCTACCATCCCGTTTGCTTGTGGATGGTAGGCGGTCGTTCGGAAGCGAGTGATTCCTAAACGTGTGGTCAGACGACGGAAAAGTTCAGATCCAAACTGACGTCCGCGGTCTGTGGTGATGGTTGAAGGGCAACCGAAGCTTGCTACCCATCGTTCGACGAAGGCGTGGGCCACGGTTTCAGCACTGATGTCCTTGATAGGTACTGCTTCTGACCATCGATTGAAACGGTCTACGCAGGTTAAGAGATAAGACTATCCATTTGAATATCGTAAAGGTCCTACCAAATCCAGATGAACATGGTCGAAACGAGCATCGGGAGTTTTAAACGAGCCTAAGGGACATTTATTGTGTCTGATAACCTTAGATTTTTGGCAGCTTACACAGGAACGTGCCCACTCCATCACGTCTTTGTTCATTCCAGGCCAGCAAAACCGTTCTGCTATAAGCTTGATGGTTGCACGAACACCTGGATGAGAAAGTTTGTGCAATGTATTGAAGACGTCGCGTCGATAATGTTTCGGCACGATTGGGCGATCCCTACCTGTAGATGTGTCACACAGTAAGGTTTCCTTACCTGTTCCCATCTGTTTGATGCGTAGTTTAAGTGTTGTGGACGATAACTCGTGCTGAAGATCACTGTCTTCTTTTTGAAGCTCGGCGAGTTTAAGAAGGTCGATTCCTTGGAAACTGTTCAAGGAAGTTATGCGAGATAAAGCGTCTGCAACTACATTGTTTGCTCCAGAGATGTGTTGAATGTCTGAAGTAAACTGCGAAATGTAGTCCAGTTGTCGAGACTCACGGGGAGAGTACTTGTCAGAAGGAGAGCTTAACGAGAAAGTGAGCGGTTTATGGTCTGTGAAAAGAGTGAATTCACGATATAGTGTTGGAAATGCCGTACAGCACAATACATAGCTAGGAGTTCCCTACCGAATGTGCTGTACCTCGATTCGGTGTCTAGTAACCTTCTAGAGAAAAATGCTAAGGGTTGCCATGAGTTGTTAACCCATTGTTGTAGGACTCCTCCGATTGCCCAGTCAGATGCGTCTACTGCGATACTAATGGGTGCTTTGGTGTCCTGATGTGCGAGCATTGTCGCTCTAGCAATCAGTTCCTTAACTGTGGAGAATGCTTTTCGTGCGGTGTCGTCCAAATTAATGGATTTCGCATTTCCACGAAGTTGGTCGGTTAGAGGTTTCATGAGTAATGCGCATTTCGGTATGAAACGTCTATAGAAACTTACGAGGCCGTTAAACGTGCGTAATTGCTTGATCGTGGTCGGTTCTGTGTAATCCAGAATGGCTGCCACTTTGATTCTAAGGGTCGGATACCTTGAGCATCGATAGTGTGTCCCAGAAAGTCTAATGAGTCGGTTCCGAATTAGCATTTCTGAACGTTTACAGTAATGCCATGTTTTTGTAGTCGTTCGAAAACAAGATCCAGATGCTTGAGATGTGTTTCTCTGTCCGGACTTGCGATTAGACAGTCGTCAACATACGCGTGTACGAAGTTGAGACCTCGAAAAACGTCGTCTATGAATCTTTGGAATGTTTGAGCAGCATTCCTTAGACCGAAAGGCATTCGCAGAAATTCATAGAGTCCGAAAGGAGTTATGATAGCTGTTTTCGGTATGTCGTCAGTAGCCATAGGGATTTGGTTATACGCTTTAACCAAGTCGATTTTCGAAAAGACAGTTGTACCTTTCAAGGTAGCTGTCACATCGTGAATGTGAGGCAACGGGTAACGATCGGGAATGGTTTTCGCGTTCAATCGCCGATAGTCACCAGTTGGACGCCAATCGTTGCTGTCCTTATTAGGGACCATGTGCAACGGAGATGCATATGGGCTACTTGACGGTCGTATGATTCCCAAGTCCATCATGTGATCGAATTCGTTTTTCGCTAACCTTAGCTTTTCAGGAGCTAGTCGTCGTGCTTTAGAGAATACAGGTGGTCCTGTAGTCGTGATGTGATGTGTAACATTGCTGGTTACACACGGTAGTTTCAGTTGAGTTTGTTGTATCCCAGGGTACTTATCGAGTAGTGGTTGATAGAGTGGGTCTATCATATGTTTAACTGTGACTGGGGATACTCTACAACCAGTAAAAGAAGTTACGCAAACGGACAAAATTAGTGTTTCCGTCTACTAGCCTCCGTTCGCGAGTGTCGATGATCAGATTGTGGTACAGAAACATCTGCAACAACGAAAATCCAGTGTATGGGTTTGCGTAAACCCACGTTAAGGTAAACGTACCTTTTGCCATACGTAGCGATCGGTTTTCCGTTGGCCGCCTGTAAGTTTAGGGTCGATTCGTGAAGTCGGTCGTTAGGATTTGCTGGGAGAACGCTATTTTCTGCGCCAGTGTCGACGAGGTAGCGAACTCTCGTTGTCACATCTGTGACGAATAACAGACGGCTTTGTTCGTCGGCTACGGTTGCCGTTAACGCGTGCCGGCTTGGAAGTTTCCCGAATTGCTTTTCGAATCAGTCGGTTTCGTGTTGGGGAAATTGCAGGGTTTTCTGCAATTTCTGGAAAACTTTCCATACTGGTTATGATACCAGCACCAGTCGGGGTTATCTGTCTCTCATGGTCTAGAGACAGATCGCTTACGAGAAATGCTTCTACGTGGAGTGCGCGATCTCTTACGGTCGGTACGAAGACTAAGATAACGCGTGGGTGTGTGACATAAGTCGTTTATATCATTCTGAGTCGTTTGAGGTTTTTCTTTGACTGAAAATACCTCGGTA